CTGAACGGCACAACCATTTGGTGTATCAGCTGCTCCTCCCAGTTTTGCATTGTCTRCTAACTTGCTGAGGGTGAACTCTGCCCCATCACTCCGGCCATTAATGAAGAAATTAAAGAGTATTTGCCCCAGTGTCATCCCCTGGGTATCACAGCACTAATAACTTGCCTCCAGGTGTACTTTGAGCTAATGATGACAATCCTCTTGGCCCAGCCACCCAGCCATTTTTCAGTCTTCCTTACTGTGGATTTGGACAGTTTTTATTTAAGGATTYTGTAGGAGACAGTCTCAAATGCTTTGTTAAAGCTGAGATAGACATCATCCATTGCTCTACCCCTATCCTATCAATTTGTCTGCCCTTTCACAGGCACCGAGCAGGTTAACCATTATTCCCAATCAACTTCTCCSTTTGTTTGGAATAATTTCCAGGATTAGTTACTCCATCACTTTTCCAGGGATGGAGGTAAGGSTGACTGACCTATATTTTCCGATCTCATCCTTACTCTCTTTGAAGACATTACTTTATTGTAACAGTTCTGGCTGACTAGAGCTAGTCATTTCCAGCAAAAATAATCAGTAAGAAAAATACAGCTCTAAATACAGTCTATTAAATTCATCTTTCTGCTAGCATTCTATGCCACAAGAAAGATCTTGCTTTCTTTCCAGTATTAGACAGCTGATTAAAAAAAAAAAAGCAAGACAAAAGTCTCTTTTAATAGAATATAATTATGCCTWTTTTTTAGAAGATACATGACTTAGATTTTCTTTCAACATTAGACTGAGATTAAAGGACTTGAGAGCTTCCAGAATTCTGATATTTTTGTTATCTCCAGCTGTTTGGAAAATTGTTAGAACATTGAGAAGACATATTCTGAAGATGTCTTCAGAAGACAGCTTCTGAAAATCCCATTCTAAATTTTTTAGGGTTATATTACATACAGAAGTACGCACAAGAATTTTACCAAACCTATAGCACAGATTAATCACTTTCAAAATGAGGAAACACCAGAATTTTCAGTATTTTTTTTTTTTTTTTTTTTTTTTTTTTAATGTTGTGTTTCTCATTCCCACATTTTTCTATGCATATGTATCTTTTAGTACCATGGTCACATACTTCATCTTCCTTCAGATCAGAATTGCCAGTGAACAACTAATCAATATTCTTTTTCATCTCTTTTGTTCAATATTAAACACAGACACCATTGATCTTTTGGGAATCAAGAACAATACTTGTATGCAAAGTTTGCAGGCAAGTTTTAAATATGAAGCCCTGTGAATTTTCTTTCTCTTCTCCACTTTTCCTTTTCCTTTCCCCTTTCCCTTCATCTCTTGCCTGACCTCAGACCCATTTTCTTTCCTCTCAGGTCCTCTATTTGTTCCACTCCAGTGAACCTCTCACCTGCAGGTTACCCAACGTGTGGAAGCAGAAGTCTTCAAATGCCAAAACAAAAGCTAAGAGCACAGAGAGTTCCCTCAAACAGCTTAACCTTCACTTGCCAGGGCAGCAGGCACACAGGGAAACAGGTGGGAACAGAGAGCTGAGGACGGTGTCAGAGCAGGATTTGGGTAATCCAGGGTGAGACTGGCTTAAGCTGCTGTTGAATTACACTGTAAGTGACACAGAAAGCTGCTCTTCCACGGCCTGGGGCTGTGCCATTAATCCATATATAAAGTGAATGGAAAAATGCTCTTGTGCTGGGGACAGCAGGCTCCAACCATACCAAAAGTCTGTAAATCTTGCTAAGATCTCTCTTTGTCCCTCTGTCTTAACATTAACACTGTGTCGACAGTGTGACAGTGTCTTGGAAAATGGAATGGAGGTGACATGAAACAACTTATTACAACTTGTAAAAATAATTCCATGGTTTTTTTTGTTTTGTTTTTTTTTTGGGTTTTTTTGGTTTTTTTTTGCTTGCTTGCTTGCTTTTTGGTTTGGTTTGGATTTTTTTTTACATGTATAAGGCTTAAATGTGTCATAAAGTTCTTGTGCATTCATCAGGTTGTACAGTGCCCTCCATGGGGATTTCCTTGCCTATACACAAGCTCAGAGACCAGCATGTGGCAAATCAGACTGAGCAAGAAAGAATCTCAGGATGGGTCTACAAGGTGCTCTGTAACAACAGGCACTTTTAGCTGTTACCCAGTGTGTAAGAACTACATACCATCTTCTTCAAATTATTTTAATAACTGTCCTTGTTTTGTATGATGCAGTTCTCTTAAACTTTTATTACACAATATCTGCATGAGCATTCACACAGATGTTTGCTAAAAAACTTCGGTTCCAGGTGAAAAGCATTGGGTACACTATGAGCAATACCAGTAGGTAAATGGACATTATTATATAGACTTCAGGAATAGAAATGGCATTAMATATATGACAACAGATTTATTGTGTGAAAATACATAAATCCAAGAGTAGCTGCACAACCCACACATCTCCACTAGATTCTGCAGAATAGCATACAATAATGTACAGGTATCAAGATGATGAACAGATGCTGCACTTATTTGTCAGCCAGCAGAGGTGTGGGAGGCAGGAATTAAAGGTTATTTTGAAACAGGAAGAAGAGAGGGAAAGACAAATTCCAGGTGGAGACAGAGTGGCACTGCTCTGCTGACCCAAGCAGAAAAGGGAACAAGTTGCAAATTATTAGAAAAAAGAGTTTTGTAAAAGGAAACCATGCTATATAGGCATTTGTGTTCCTTCCATAYTACACAGATATAGAGAATGAATATATATCAGACTTCAATACTCCTGCAAAATATTAGAAAAGATCACCTGTGATTATTTACACAATCATACACATAAATGAATAAAAAGGCTGCACAACTGCATGTATCATTAAGCCGGATACTCTGTAGATTCTCACATTAACACTTGCATAATCGTATATCACACTTCTAAACATTTATTTTTTTTTCTGTTTGCTTCTTTAAAACTCACAAAATGAAATAAAATTCACTTTTAAAACTGCAGAGACTGCTGAGTGCCTAAGCAAGMCATTATTTGCTTGCTCATAATCATCTTTTCCCTGTGTTAGTCACTGATGCATTAATTGCTTATCAAAACTTGAAACAGTTTGCATGAGTCACTCAGAAGATAAGATAAATATTAATGAGCCAATTTCAATGGAATTCATGTCCTCCACCTCTTAAAGCTGGAAGATTGTATCTATTACATGTCAGAATTAAGTCTTGATAGCTAATAAATGGGAAAATATGAAATATACTGACTAGATCACCATGTTTCAAGGGATCATTGCATTATCACCGTATTCGACCAAATTAGATATCAAAGAGAGAAAGGACTGGTCAAATATAACAGAGAAATTAAGTGGAAGAGATGTCTAGGTCTGACGCATCTTGAGTAAGAAATTTAGTATGTAGGTTGTGAAGTTGGGAAATTATTCTAAATCAGTTGATTTTAACATAACAGAATTAAACACAAGATCTTTGAACAAAGACATCGGCAACAAATATCATAAGAAATTTTAGTATTCCTTACATTGAATGAAGGAAAGCAGGAAGGCATAGTGTTTTCAGGAGTATCAAAATACAGAACTTTATTTTGGATCAATATGAAATTTTCATTAAGCAAAAACACTAAGTGGAATGCTCTTCACCCACTTAATTTTTTACTAAAATTCAGTGAAATATACTATTTTGGAGTGTAAAAACTTTCATTTTGAAAACATGAATCACCTGAGAGATTTTTAAATCTGGCCCAATGACCATTCATTGTAGAAAATCCAAGTCTAAAACTTTTCAAATTTAATTACCCAGGATGAAATAGGAAACACAAGTCCTTCCCTTGAACCTTTACTTGCTTGTTCTGGCTTGTTCCTGAAAATGGTAGGCAAAATAGATCTCACAGAAATCAAAGGACCAACAGAGTATATCCCTAAAAGGCAACTGTAGATCTGAAATAACTTGGGAATTAGAGAGATATCAGTGAGCCACTTTTGAGTCAAACTGTTAGTGAAAAACCCTTTTCCTAAAAAATTGACAGCYTTTCTCAAAGAAGTTGAGCAGCAGGATATTATGGCTCATCTAGCTGGCTGGCATAAAGCAGATAAAATGGGAAATTTGTTTAAATGATTACAGCAGGATGAAGAACATAGATATCAGACTCTGTGTCTCAGTATGAAATGAAGAATCCTCTATTTATTATATTAGGCCAAGTTGTTTATTGTCAGAGGTCATATCAGCTGCTTAGCAAAAGACATTGCTTTAACTTCAGCTAAACAGCTAAATGTATTGAGACAGTCCTAGATGTATTAGTGCACCTCAGCTGATGAGAGCACAGGGACACCTGGACACTCTCTTTAGACCCATGGATACTGTAAAACCAAAGGCATCTGCTCAAATCAAGTTTTCCGTGCCAGCACTTAACACAGAATGTGTCAGTAAAGTCTGCATGCAAGAATGCAGAGAAAAATATAACTATGAAACATGTTGTGAATTAAATATAACACAGGAAAAGTTCAGATTTTGGTACTTACCTTCAYCAATTAGCACATATACTAGCTTTTCTCTCAGAAGTGTAGTTAGTGTGCACTTTCCATAGCAGTATCCTAAAATTCTTCACTTTAYGCATTCATAGCTAACAGAGCTCTCATATAACTTGTTTTTTCTCTTAAGAGTAAGGAAAGACTTAGATCATGTTGCAAATGAACATGATGCTGTTCAGAGGTGCTGCTTCCTCTGAAACGTACAAAATTATGGAAAAATATATGCAAAGCCATAGGTTCTTTAACGCAGGCCCCTGGTATCTAAAATAAGGATTGTTTACATTTATCATTATGTGCACACAGCAATCAAACAATTTTCTTATGTTCATGAAAAACATTTTTTGTGCTTCTAAAAACTGCATTGTCAAATAAAGCTGGACTCAGATACAAATGTGTTCCTCACCATAAAAATGGCCAAAGAAGTAACGGTTATCAGTGATACTTTTCTTACTGTTCTGTTTGCCCCAAGTGCAGATAAAACCAGCATCTTACCTGCTCTGATAGTTCTGGCCTGTTGACCCGAGCCTGTACCAGAGCATCACTAACAAGCGAATGGAAGTTTAGCAGCACGTGCTCAATGTCGTAGGCTCCGCTCATGGCGCTTGAGAGCTCCTCCAGGGACTGGATGTATCCCCGCCAGTGGAGATCAATTTCTGCCACGGCAGCCAGGCAGCCTCGGATGGTGTTGAGGCAGTAGCCCATGCAGGGCTTGCTCAGGGTCAGTCCCTGGCAATGTGGGCAGTACTGCATTCTCAGCAAAGCTCTGCTGCAGTTTTTAGAGAAGCGCAGGTGATCCGTAGTGTTGATCACTTCAATCCCCAAATTCAGAGCCTGTAAGAAAATCYGGCTGGGTAAGAGTGATCTTCCCATTTGTCTTATGGCCTTTTTGGGAATGTTGCCAAAGGGTCTGATRTCTCTTCTCGCCATTCGGAGGCACTCCGCATATTCCAGTGAAATGTCAGTCGGACCAGGGTTAATCACGTGGTTGTAGACTACTGGAAACAGGGTGTCAAAAAATCTATTCACAAATTCCTCTGTGCTAATGTCTGTGCCAAATAAGAAGAGTCCAATATCTGTGAAAAACTCCTGCACACGCATAGTAGCCTCAGCAGCCATGTTTCTATATGCATTGCAGAAAAGTGTGCTTGTGTAATTCTCAGCCACTCTGATAAGCATTTCAAAGGTTTCTGTAATAAATCAATCAATCATTATTTTTAAGATTTAAGAAATAAGCAATTAGAGTAAAAGCATAAAACAGTTACGTTARGACAACTTACATATATCCCCAATGAATTTTTGCATCAGAATTTTTGAGGAGACAAACTTATCACAAACTATGACATTTTTCTGTACAGGGAAACACCTTACAAGGAACATTACAACATAACTAATAATCCATGTTTTCTYTGCAGGTTACATTAAACATAGGCTAAAAAAAATTAACAGAAAGTAATTGTAAGTTGAGGTATTAAGTTACAAAACACAGTAAGGTCCCACAGAATCCACCTATGTATATAAATACATTATCTTTCMAATCTCACAATATATTCTGCAAGTTGCAATAAAAAGTTGAATGCTCTCAGTAACTACAAGACATTCCTCTTACCATCCTAAATGAATAGGYAAAATTAACATTAAGCAATAAAAACAACGTTTCCATTCTATTAGCACTTAAATTTAAAAGATCAGTTTYTATTTCATGTCTTCCAGAGGAAGCAGATGTACCAACACACATGACAACATGATTTTAAACAGAGCTGTTTGGTCTGGCAATTGGTATGGCCAAGAACTGCTTTCCTCAGGAACTGATGGATAATCCCTCTTTAAGCCTCAAGAGCTGCATAATGAATAAAGCCCAAATGGACAAACTTGCATTTCATGTGTTAGGTGGTAATCTAAATACACTGAGCAGTTTTTAATAAAGCAGTTAAAGTATACCAGAAAAATATCCTCTCCTGGTTTGATCTATGATTGAAGGTAAGAAAAAATGTCAGTTTTCAAAACAGAAAAAGTATGTTTACATTGAGGAATTCCCTAGATCTGCCTGAGAAGGCTGCACTTCAGGGAAGGCAATGAAGCAATATATGAATCAAAAGGAAACTTACCTCAGAATAAAAGAATAAGAACAGAGGAACACATATTACAAGTATTAACACATTTTATACACTGAATGGCTATGACTAAAACTTCAAGTTTTACAAGTTTTCATGTATCTTTTTTCACATTTATTTTTAAATAATACTGTAAAAATAAAGTAAGGAAAAGCACGAAGTACAGTTAGTACTGTCTAAACACTGATGTTAAATATAGGCAGAATCAAATAGTGTCAAACCATGTCAAGCAATTTCTGAAGCAATCTGAAGTCTGCTGGCAAGTCACTGACTAAAAGGAAGAGTTGAAAAAAACAGGAAAAAAAAGATTTGCTATCACATCTTTAATATCTCTATGTATAAGTGCCATATATAATGAYTAAAAGTTTGTTCAGTTCAGGTCARTGAAAAGATCCTTGCTGACTTCAGTGAGTTTTAAATTGCATGCTTTGTGAAAAGATCACAGACAAAACATATTAAACTGATCTGCATATACTTTGTATTCAGTCTCTGTTTCCTCCAATAAAAATGAGATACATCCTTGTAAACYACAATCATTCCTCTGCTATCTCTAAGTCTTAGTTTCATATTACAGACCACTCTTAAAACTGAATTTGCTGTTCCCTCTTCTGTTCTTCTAACATTCACACAAGTAGGAAAAACAAGCGTTGACAGCTCACAGCAAAGAGTGAGAAAGTGCATCCCACTGGTCTGTTTTGGAGAGCTTTTTATTGCTATGTCATATGCATATGTGAACCYCTCCTCAACTGAGTTTCACTCATAATCATTCATACATGCTAAATATCACAGTGATTCAGCAAAGGGATTAATTTGTTTTAAAGAGTCAGAGTCCTAAAGTAATTACCTTCATGAAGCCATGCTCCCACCAATGGAGTCTCATTCAACACACAACAGCCTCTTGGTTTATCTTGTGAGTTAAACATGCAGAAGAGCCAGCTGAGTACCTCTGCAGCTTCCAACATCTCCACTTCATACCTGAGCTAGATTTTATACATACATATATATGTAGATATATATGAATATATAAAAACAAGATGGGTGTACCTTCAACCTCAGCACTTCATGTTGTGTACCTGAGACATCTGCACTGCACCCCATGTTTGTAGGTGTGCATGTATATCTGCATGGGGGGCCCATTTCCTTATGGAACAGCAAATGAGGCACAAAAAATCAGAGTAGATTAAATTTCAGGCACCTGAACGAAGGAGGCAAAGCTACAAAGGCAGTTTGGACACCCAGCTCCCATGGAGGCACAGACAACGGGAAACTAAATTACAGCCCTAAATATCTGATTGTATTACATCTCATTTTTASTGGGGGAAATAAGGAACGAAAAGAACATGCAATCCTACAATAGAAACTTTATTTAGCTGCCTAAGAGTGTTTGATAGCATTTTTAATGGTAGATGCTATTTATTTGCATGTCCAAAAGGCCATGTTTGTTCTGCAGGACTTGCATCGTATCTGTAGATTGTGTATGTAATTTTGCATTTAAAACAACACGGTATGGTTGTGCTGAGACCATGGAGCTAAATTCTAGGTATCTAGTTATCACAGAYTTGACAACCCTTCATATAAAATCCTGGAGCAGCCCAGAAGAGCAAAGGCAAAAATTTAAGTAAAATTGATTCTTGGTTTACATAGCTTAAAATAATAAAATGTGAAAGATATCAAAGCTTTTTATTATTACTTTTCCTAGATGGAAACCATAAAGTCTGTGATCTAAAATGTCTGTTACAATCCATGGCTGCAGTATCCTATTACCAAGAGCACAAATATTAGCTGAAAGAATAAATCATGTTGCACATGGATAATCAATGGATTTTACAATGTAGTCTAAACAGTAACAAATCTTTGATATTGAACTACATTGCTAGTGCCTCAGCAACCCCCAGATGAATGAGTACAATAATCAACTACATAATTTACTGRCTATTTCTGTCTTTCTAAACAAGATATGATGATACTGCCCACTTGTGTTTACAACTCTGCATCATGTTGTTTAATTGTCATATTATGATTTCTTACAGAATTTGCTAATCAGATATTTTTTCTGGCACMTCTGCTATTTTTTAACAATGGCTATTTCAGAGATTTGTTTTGCTCTCAGCATATTTGCTGGCAGACAGCAAATCAGACCTATATTTACTTTCAATATTGAACAGCTCCTGTGAATACCTTATAATGGCAATCTATGTCATTTACAAGACATTCTRATACTTCAGTGACAAATCAAGTTATACTGGCTCAATACCACAAGCAGTAGCAATGTGTTTCTCTATCTTTTAAATCTGTGGGCTGACACAAACATAATCAGCAYTAATTATTCAGCAACATAAAAGAAGTGATGAGTTTTCAGTCAGTATAAATCTAATATAAGATACATTTTAAGTGTAACTAAGATGAGGTAGACAAGCTCTTTTTATTGTGACCTGCAGGGTCAGTGCCTCTTRTCTCCATCCTTCATGCGATCTTCATATTAACTGTTCCACAATATCCCATAGATACTTTGTGTTGTCCTACTGTTAATAATGTCTATTGTTTACCACAGATTATATGTCAATTTTTTTTTCTTTGATGACAATTAAAATTATTATCTGTACACTCCTTAATCAGAATTCAGGGCTGTCAATATTTTAACCAATTAATTTTTTGAAAGAACAGTAGTATTTCTCTTCCTGATTTTACTAAGAACAAAACACAAGGCTAGGAAAAAATGTAGATGAGAACTGTTTTATGTATTGCATTTATTCAGCTGATATTTCATATCAGTACATATATATGTTATTTTTTTATAATAGCACATTTAAGAAAGTGATTACAAAGTGATGTAAAATAACTATCAGATCATTGCTTTAAATGATTTGCTATCTTCCCTCTTATAGCCTTTCTTTTCCTGAGAGCCAYGGGTAGTTCCGGATTATAAAGAATTTCCAAATTTTTAATTAGTCCAGTGGATAACTGGCTTTAAAATAAAAATCAAAARTATATATGTGCCTTGTTTACTAGAACAAAGAAAACAAAAAAGAAATCTAGCTGGACATGAATCATATCTAATGGAAATATTGCACAGAAAGAAACACAATTTGGATTAGATTTTAAACCAGCCTTGCAATTCTCATCCTTCACAGTTTTGGCAAAGTGTCTTTATATTACAGGTACCTTAGAAAGTTAATTTGAAATAAATTTGTATGGAATTGTGCTGTTGTAAAACAACTACATTTTCTTAAGTTTACCCTTTCTTCACAATAAAGATATAGATAGAATATAGATAAATATTCTATAAATCTGCTAAATGAGAAATTGCATGGCTCTGAATGCTGAGCACTACCTTTTGAAACACAATATGATACTTAATGCAGAGATAATCTAATAAATTAAAAATGCAGTATTAGTAGTGGGCCAACAAGTTGTGAAGTCTTATAATTCGACAATAATTCACCAGCCTAAATTAAATATTATAAATTAATTCACACTGAGTCAGGGTAACATATAAAACTCAATAAATTATAACSAGACAGGTTAAAATCCATCCTTGATTTATGACATTGTATTTAGCAAAACTCCCTTTCATAGTCCAGAGGAGATATGAAACTGATGTGCTTGGACTATCTTAAGGATCAGCCCATAACCTACAGCAATCAATTACTAAATCCAAGCAAACCTGGAAAAGCTAGCAATATCATAAATTTACTATGATTTGAAAAATGCTGTGGGGAAGTATTGCCAGCTACCATTGATGTTTGGTGATCTTGTAGGTTTTTGTTCTGTTTATGGATAGCACAAATAAACGAAAAGCATCAAACTCCCTTTTCTAAAGTTTGCATACATTGWCCTTCCAGAGTCACAAGTAAAGTAATGTCTCAGGGGCAGAGTAAGCAGAGTAAGCAAAAAAGCATTGAAAAATTATGAAAAAAAAATTGTGAAAAGAAATTAATCCACACTGTACCAAATTCATAATATCTTTGTTTAAAATACATCAAACAGAGAAACAAGGATAGGTGGGCAATTCAGTGTAGCTATTCCTAATYACAAGGTAGTATGAGCTGCAAAAATAATGTCGTCAAAACACATAA